GAGGCATTCTCTTACTACGTATGCATGCATATTTAATCATGCAAACAAAAAATGTTCAAGGACAAACGAAGTCCCGTTTAACACACCAAAGAAGGTTGAAGTTCCTCATAAAATCAACAAAGTGTGATACATGAATTGTATTATTTAATAACTATATGTTCATCAATTACTAAAACTCAATAGGCCCATTTGGCATATGCCAAATTACGCCACCTCTGGAGTAAATGTGATATCCGGCTGTTTACCGAAAGGGTGTGTGTACCGCTCGGCAAGCAGTTCGGTCCATCCACCTATATGACTGCCTGTGAGTGAGACATGACCATTAAAAGTGGAAGACATGAAAAGAACAGTTAGTTGCTCTCGATCGTAGGTGTCTGTCTCCCATGTTCGGTAAGCAATATTGAGGTTAGGCTTCATTCGAGTGCTAGGTAAGGAGGGGAGGTTACACCGATTGAGATGGTTAAGACATGTGTTACGCATGTCTAGCCATCGCCTTCCTCGACGGAGAATGTTAGATGACTGACATGGGATCAGGTTAGAAAAGAGACAGCTAGTGGTGGTCGAATGAAAAAAATGGCTCCAACAGTCAATGAAATCCAAAACATTTAGTTTACGCCAGTCACGTAGTGAGGTGTAGACTGGCTTCCTGGTTGAGGTCTTGGGGACGATAAGAACCAATGGCGGTGGGAGACAATCGGTGATATGGTTCAAAATCGTTCTCAATAGCTGGTGCAGATGCATCCACTCCTTGTGACTTATAATTTCCAATAAAACTCTATTGCATTTCCGTATTACCGTTTTTTCGGCCCCACACATTTGTTTATTATCTCTCTTTTGCATCTCTCTTTACGCTCTTGTTTTGCTTTTTGTGATACATGAAGGGAGTGTGGCAACTCGAACTGCTGTACACCTGTGCAAAGTTCTACGTTGAAACCAAGCAGTCAGTTAGTCAGTCCAAACTCAACAGAAAATAGTCTTCCTTTATCATTTGCTGTGAAAGCATAGTAGTGTCATTGAACATCCTTCTAGGGTATGAATTGTACTCAGCTAAAAGAGTAACGACAGTTGAATTCCGCTTAACACTGATGTCACTTCAGTGCTTCTATATGAATCAACCACCTGACGCCGACTCCACGTAAAGCATTTCCAACAGGTCACTAAACACTTTCATCAACTGCTGCCTTCTATATGTTTTCGACATAGAACTTTGTACCGATGTGCAGCAGTTTAAGTCACCACACTTCACCCCATGTAGCACACAAAGCGAGAGAAAAGCAGAAGAAATGCATAATAAAGATAGTAAACAAAGGACGTGAGACAAAGGAATAGTAATAACGAAGAACAATATAGTTTCATTGGAAATCATAAGACACAAGGAGTGGATGCATCTGCGCTAGCTATTGAGGACGATTTTGAGCCATATCACCGATTGTCTCCAGCCTTCAATGGCTTTTACCATCCGGGTAACCCCAACCAGGAAGCCAGTCTACACCTCCCTACGTGGCAGCTGGCTTAAACTAACTGTTGTGGATTTCATTGACTGATGAAGCTATGTTTTGGTTTTATCGCCGCTAGCTCTTTTCCAGTCTGACCCTATGTCAGCTAACATTGTCCATCGAGGAAGGCGATGACTACGCATACGTAACATATCCTAACCATGTCAAACGGTGTACCTTCACAACCTCATCAATTGATTTCCCCTCCTTACCTAGCACTCGATTGAAGCCTAACTCAATATTGCTCACTCTATTATACCTACCACCGAACACAGGAGATAGAACGCAGGCACCTATGATCGAAGACTGCTGCCTTCGCTACCTCGATACTAAAGATCAGATGCTGGTCAACCAGCAAGAAAGGATAAACAACGAAAGGAAAAAAACTCTGGTAGGCAACCAACCAAGCAAACGGGAACCTACTGATCAACAAATACATCGTTGAGTAACATCACGCCACAGACACTCGAGTCAAACCCGAATGAGAGAGTACGAGTTTGGCTTAGGTTCCAAGGTGACATGGAGGAGATTGTGTAAGAAGAGGATGAAAGCTTACGAGTAATCGTGAAGGCAGATAGTGCTGACTGAAGAGAACACACTGGAATTGAGATATGGTAGTGAAATCTTACGTTCTATTCAGAATCCTAGGGAAAAATGACAATGCTTTTACAGTCTCTATTATATGTGATGTATTTGACCACTGGCTAGAAATCTTACTTGAAATCCATTCCAAAGTAACAATAAGTTAAGGTGTGACTCATCGGTCTAAGTCCTTGACTTACAACCGCCAAAGGGTCACGAATTCGAAGCTGAAACCATCTGCTTCCCAGCCTGGCTACATAATAAGTAAGGTGGATAACCTGGTACATGGGATACTTCTTCCAAGGACAACAGGCAAGATACAACAAAAAAGAGAGCCTTATTGTGAAACGACACTCTGGAATACGCATCGGTGGTGTAGCGGTAGGATGCTCGCGCCAACCATGCCACAACACGTGGTTCAGAGTTCTATTCCCAGCCGACACACTCCTAAACCTTGCATGGCGAGTAGTAAGCCCTATTAAAGAGGGAAGATTGACTGTGGTGCTAGCAACCGAGTCTCATAAGAAAGAATAGCACCACTGATACTGAAGCATCAAAGCTCACAGTTCGAAGCCCTATGTTCCACTCAGAACAGAATTATCACTATGAAATATGGTGAAATCTTCACTCTTTTTGTAAAACAAAGTATCAAGAAAAGCTACAGATAATAACAGTGGAAAAAAAGTCACTCGCTCGAGTTATACAGATATATTTTAAGGCATGCTTAAATTCGCTAGGGTAATGCATATCTTCTGCCAGAGTTGGTGAACATTGAATAGTTCGGTAGTTCGAAATGGTCTCAATTTGGAGGGAGACAAGAAGACTGTCATCGCTTAATTGTATGCTGGTTGGCAGAAAATTGAAGAAATACGATGAGAAGTAATGTTGAATATTATTATATTCACGTTTATTTACAGGCTTCAGCACTGATTAACCACTGTATATCAACAGAAGACAAGGGCCGGCAACAGATAGTTTTATTAAGGAAATCAGTACGTATTTATACATATTTCATGTACATTATTATAGCTTATTCAAGCAGACAAACACAGTCTTCTGATTGGTTGTTTCTGGTTTCTCAGAAAGTTAAGTCATAACATCTGCGAATCTTATTTGCCCACGTTAAGTCTGCTGTGATTGGTTGTTGAATCAGCCTTGTTCATATTTTCTCACGGCCAAAATTAGTGACCTAGACATTGACGTAAACTAATGTCTACCAATTGGCTAGCAGCCTGCTCTCACTACATATCTGTTTCGTTAATGCTTGAAGAATAAACAATCGTGTTGCCTAACCGTTTTCTGTTATTCCGTGTTGGTTACAGTGCATAGTGATCTGTGTATTAAGCTTAATCTTCTTAAACCAGCAATAGGTCCAGGATCTCAGCGATCTAGGTATTTGAAATTTTCTTTTTCTGAGACAAATAAATCGCCACTAGTTGCGAAAATATTTCGAAAACTCCACAAGAATGAACAAATCACAAAGCAACAAGAAACAAACATAATGCATCTCCTAGTTTGACTTCACAGGAGCCTGATTGGTTAGAAGTTTGATCACGGACTGATATCAGTTAGACAACCATTGAAAACAGAGCTGTTTCGTCCCACTCCGTAACTTTTCAACAGTGCGCACCTATGGCCCCTAAGGACTCAGGTTCTCCAGGTTACTAAGTGAAGTCGTGGAACATTTAGCCAGTGAGACGAAATCCAATGACCAACCAATGGATTCTAACTTTTATGAGTTTACGATTTCTAGAGCCAATGCCAGCTTATGCCATCGGAGAGTATTTATCCTCACACCCGACCTGGTAGACTCCACTGGTCACAACTTTTCACTAGAACTCCAGACGACAACTTCATCCTGTGATCAGTTACCAATGAGTGTCAAACTAATTTCTAAGCGCTAGTTTGCGGGGATTTGATTGATCTCAAATTCGATCATGGATCGATATCAGTTAGGAAACCAAACCACTGCAAACCAATGGGCACTTATCAGCTGCTTCGTGATAGTTTCCATTCCTCATTATTGAGAACTCTACGACCCTGCCAGGGACCTCCAGGTTATGAGACCATCTCGCCATAGCCATTTGAGTTGGATTTTAGTGACCCGTAAATTATAACTTTATCACTCCATGAAGGTCCTGTGTGTGTACTGCTGAAGACTGCCAAACTAGCGTGTTGGGAGCTGGATGCTAGCTAAAAATTGGTAGACAGTAATTTATGTCAATGTTTACGTCCACAATATTGGTCGTGAGAAAAATAAGAACAAAGACTGATTCAACAACCAACCACAGTAGACTTTGCGTAGGTGGATACAATTAGCAGATAGATGATCTGACATTCAAGAAACATCCACAAAGAGATGAAAGACTAACTTTCAGGGAGAAACAACCAATCAGAAGACTGTGTTTTTCTGACAACAGTAATCTGTGATGTACATGAAAATCTATAAATGTATGTTGATTTCCTTAATAAACGATCTGTTGTCTGGCCTTTGTCTTCTGTTGTTACACTAAGACCAAACCGCATGCCTAGTGCTCTCTGGTCTTTAGTAATCCCCCTGAGTGGTGTTGGTTCGTGATGAAGTTTAACAATTGAAATCAAAAACCAGGGAGTACTGGACAGCTGCTATTTCATCCTAGTTTTGGAATCATCGGCAGTACGCACCCACTGGGATTCGAACCCAGAACCTTCCAGTTACAAAGCAAGCTCGTACTGCCGATGATTCGCAAACTAGGATGAAACGGTTGGCTGTCCGGTACTCCCTGGCTTTTAACGGTTCTCTAACTGATATCAATCCATGATCAACTCGTAAAAAAATAAAACTAACCGTTACAAACCAAACTATAGAAAAGTGAAATTAATCGAAATTCCTACGCAACACACACACAACCTATAATTAAAAAAACTAAAATATTTACTTACAAGAGTACGTTGATGATAATGTACTAATTGTTGTATAGCAGCATTACTTATTTGTTGAGCACCATTCAATTTTACACTAATCAAGTGTGTAGCAGATTTGGCCAGAGCGATAACAGTTTGATCACGTACAGCTTGTGTATAACTTGCATTCACATGTTTTAAATTATGACAATGATCTGCAACTAAGCGTAACGGTATGTCATGATCAAATGGGCCTTTAGTACAACCGATTAGAGATAGTTTCTGCAGTCCAGGACCACATACAAGAAACATACGTTTCAATCCTAAAACAAAACAAAATGAAAATAAATCATAATGTGATATGAATTAAAAATATTAATAGTTTTAAGCAGTTTTATTAGTGTGACACATGTATAGTTTTGTGATGGTGACACGTAAATAAGTGACACACATTTGGGCATGGCAGCACATCACGTAATCTTTTTTTAAAAACCCACAAGTTTCTTTCTCACAGATAACTTCTCTTCTCAAAAATAGAACAAGATTGAAAAATGTAGAAAGGATTTAAAATAAGGAGTAGAAGAATGAAAATCTCTATCTCCCAACCAGTCCCACTGTCGTCATCATCAAAAAAAACTGGTGTTATGGGTTTGAATATCTACTCAAATAATAGCCATGTATAATTTGACCTTTCATCAAGATTTAAAAGTACAACACTATGATGAATGCATTTCAACACAAATTACGTGAGTAATTAATTGCTCGTTTCAAAGAAAGCCGTCTACATCAATGTCATTTAAAGAGGATAATTATATGTAGGCAGTCAAACGAAGACTTCATAAAGTTGCAAAACTCATCCTTCTTAACACCCCCACCAAGCCGGGGTGCTTCACAAATCTGGGAAATACCTGTGGCTAATCTCCTCGACATTTCAAACTGCCTATATCAATTTGAGTGTGTTTGTCGAATGAAACAAATATATAGGTTGTACGGAAAGGCGATTGTCTACCCCATTTCACATGATGGAGTATTTGCGCAAGTGGTTAGAAAAGAGGCTGAAGTCAGAGTAGTACTAAAAAGTTCAATAATAAGGCCTCTTATAGACCACAGATAGGATATTGAGACACTGTCATGTCATTCACTGTTGTCAGCGAGCAGACAAACAACCAGAAAGATACTTGCAACTAAGAAGGCTTATGAAATTAAATTTTATAAACCAGGTCTCTGTGTACAGCACGGATCCAAAAAGCTCGAGCTGCTTTCGCTGACTTACACCATCTCTGGCGCAGGCGTGACATCCGGTTAACAACCAAGGGACATGTGTACTGCTCAGCAGTACGCTCCGTCCTTCTCTATGGCTCTGAAACATGGCCAATACGAGTTGAAAACATGAAAAAGTTGACTGCTTTCGATCATAGATGTCTACGATCTCTTTGTCACGTTAGGTGGTTTAATAAGGTGAGTAATGTTGACGTTAGGCGTAGAGTGTTGGGCAAAGAGGCCAATTCAATCGACGAGGCTATAAAGTTATATAGATTGAGATGGCTATGTCACATCCTGCTCATGCCTAACCATAGCCTCCCCCGACGGGCATTACTAGCTAGCTGATATAGGTGCAGGTTGGAAAAGAGCCAGTGGTGACCAAACAAAAACATGGCCTCATCAATCCATGGAATCCTTGACAGTTAAACTGAGTCAGGTAGGGAGATGCAGACTTCCGGGTTGGGGCCCTCGGGACTCTAGGAATCAATGGCTGGAGACAATAGGTTACATGGCTCAAAATCGTTGTCAATGGCCAGCGCAGATGTATTCAGTCTCTGTAATCTTCCATATTCCTCTCCACTATTACCCATTCTGTTTCGCTCTAATACCTGTCAAACTCTGTTGATTCTCTTTACTCATCTAATTGTCTACCTTTGTGTGCTATTTGGAAGGTGGCAACTCGAACTGGTGCACTTCGGTGCGAAGTTCCATGTTGAATCCAGACAGACAGACAGTACAGAAGAAAATGAAGAACACTCTGAATCCCACTTATTAACCGTTATTATCATTATTGATTGTTGATTTTCTCAATAAACGATGTGTTGCCTGGTCCTTGTCTTCCGTCGTTACATCATTATTTTAACTTGTTTCACAGTTTGCAATTCCTTACACCTTTAAGCTGTTTCCCTGATAACTAATTGTCTATTTAAAATGATATAAGTGAACCATAATCTATTATAATCTCACTTAGCTCTAATGTTTTTCGCTCTCTAATATCCCTCTTTTCCCTTATATTTATCTGAACTCCACCTGTAAAACATTCGCAACTAACCAATTTGCAAATTAAAATTTGTAATTTACACAGTTCACTGAGCTGCAAAAATTTCCCCACAGTTGTATCTCCTGTGGAAATCAAAATGATTCAGATCACCAAAATATGTGATTGACCAGCTTGATTGATACCACAAGTGGGGTAGTCCAGAAAGCAAGCACAAATGCATGCATGAAAGAATATATACTACAATATTATTGATTGAGATGAGTAGTTGGATAACCATTCATCATATATCAACGCGTACTAGTCAGATTGAAATGATCTAAACGCCGGACGACCGTTTCGACCCGAGCGCTCTCATCAGTCGTGGTACCCAGTTTGACTGGGTACTGAATTATTATTATTATTAATATTCCCTTGCGTTCCGAGTGGAATATAGGGCTTCAACAACACATCTGTTCTATTTTCTGCCTTCCTCTTCAGCTGGGTCCACGATTGCCGATAATCTCTCACCTCTTCCTCACACGACCTCCTCCATCTCACAGGAAGACCCATTCGTCGCTTGCCATTCGTATTCCACTCGGCGGCCTGGCGTGCGATGTCATTCGACGGCTTCATTAACGTATGGCCGATCCATCTCCACTTTCTCCCACATATTTGTTGAGCAATCGGCTCTTGGTTGGTTTGTTCCCAACCACAGTTTCTTGTCTCTAATTCTTTCCGGTAGGCTGGCCATTGGATCTTCAGTATCGGGCCAGCCAGTGAAGGCATCTGTTGATAAAAGTCTGTAACTTGTTTGAAATCCTTTTCGTGACACACAGTGCAAGTTTCTGACCCGTATAGAAGCACTGACCGACTTAACATTGGCGTTGAAAATTTGAATCCTGTTTTTTATGCTGAGTCTGTCTGTCTGGATTCAACATAGAACTTGACACCGAAGTGCAGCAGTTCGAGTTGCCACGTTCCAATTAGCACACAAGGTAGACAAGAAGATGAGTGAAGAGAATCAATAGAGTTTGACAAATATAAGAGTGAAACAGAATGGGTAATTGTAGAAAGGAATATGAAAGATTACAGAGACTGAATACATCTGCGCTGGCCATTGACAACGATTTTGAGCCATGTCACCTATTGTCTCCAGCCATTGATTCCTAGAGTCCCGAGGGCCCCAACCCGGAAGTCTGCATCTCCCTACCTGACTCAGTTTAACTGTCAAGGATTTCATGGATTGATGAGGCCATGTTTTTGTTTGGCCACCACTTACTCTTTTCCAACCTGCACCTATATCAGCTAGCAATGCCCGTCGGGGGAGGCGGTGGTTAGGCATGCGCAGCACGTGACCTAGCCATCTTAGTCTATGTAACTTTATAGCCTCGTCGATTGATTTTCCCTCTTTGCCCAACACTCTACGCCTAACGTCAACATTACTTATCTTGTGAAACCACCTAACGTGAGACAGAGATCGCAGACATCTATGATCGAAAGCAGTCAACCTTTTCATGTCTTCAACGCGTATTGGCCATGTTTCAGAGCCATAGAGAAGGACGGAGCGAACTGATGAGCAGTACACACGTCCCTTGGTTGATAACCGGATGTCACGCCTACGCCAGAGATGGTGTAAGTCAGCGAAAGCAGCTCGAGCTTTTCGGATCCGTGCTGAGATTTCATCGCCAATCAGTCCGTTGGTGCTAATACAACTTCCCAAGTAGGTGAAGTGGTCAACATGTTCTATCACTTCACTCCCTATCACTAAGTTAGGGATTGACGGGGTCCAGTCCTGTAGCAGCATCTTACATTTTGCAGGGGCGAATCGCATGCCAAACATACGAAGATTGCTGCTCAAGGTGTTCAGAAGACTCTGCATTTTGTCAGCATCCTCCCCTAACAGGACTATGTCATCTGCATATTCTAAGTCCATTAGATTATTCCCTGGTAACAAGTCGATTCCTAAGTCACTACGTTCAGTTAAGGATACTTCCATTAGCATATCTATGATGAAGTTAAACAGAAATGGGGAAAGTGGACATCCCTGTCGGACACCACTGGTTGTTACCAATTCAGATGACAATTCCCCATAAGCCCTTACACGACTACGTGAGTTTGAATAGAGTGCCTTGATTAGTGCAATGTACTTTCTTGGCACTCCCTTCACAGTCAGACATTGCCATAGTACCTTTCGATCCACGGAGTCGAAGGCCGCCTTCAAGTCAAGAAATATGGCAATTGTTGGACGCCGAAAAGTGTGTCTATGTTCTAGAATCTGTCGAAGAGTGAAGATATGATCTATGCACCCTCTACCTGGTCTAAAGCCTGCTTGATTTTCCCTTGTCTGTTCCTCCCGAGTTCTGCTTAGTCTATGCATGATTACTGAGCCTAGGATTTTAGAGACTATGTTCGTTAGGCTGATCCCCCTATGATTATCACACGAGGACTTGTTTCCCTTCTTGAATATCGGTATAATAAGTGACTTACCCCAGTCTGATGGTACTGTCTCTGATTCCCAGACTTTGCCTAGTACCTCAGTTAATCTACAAACTAGTATGTCACCCCCATATTTAAACACCTCCGGAATAATTCCGTCGGGTCCTGCCGCTTTGCCTTTATGCTGAGTGAGTACAGAAGATTTCTGAACTAGTTTCAGGTTGATAAAAGCATAATCTTGCCTTTCCGATTCTGACTGGCTTTGACATCCTTATCCGTTCCGCCTACAAGTTGAAGCGATGCTTCCTAGATAAGTGAAGGAAGTAACCTCTGTCAAATCTCTCCTGTTGATGGTGATTGGTCAAGGTTGTTGTTGTTGTTGCTGCTGTTCGTTGGTTGGTTGGTTATCTTGATCACTTCCGTCTTCTTTATGTTCCCATGGAGTCCTGTCTTCTCTGCCTGTTTCTTCTGTCAGCCTGCTGATTATTGCCCTCAAGTCTTCGAGTCTATGTGACATTGAAGAAATATAATCTGAAATAATCCAGATCTTCTAGAGTCTTATTAGCCGTCAGTTCAGCGTAATCCTGTCTTCTCACTCTCAACGCACAATCTGACGCATTATCCAGTCCATCACAATTAAGAATGTCATCGGTAATATCAGGCAGCCTTGTCTTGCTCCCGTATGTATTATGAACGCCTCACTGAGTTTTCCATTGTGGATCATGAGTACAACTATTCATCTCAGTCAACCAGTTGTATATATAATTTATCGTCTTAACTGTTATCATCATTGCAAAGTGATTCCTGTATGACTTACCAGAAGCAGTTAAACTATCCCCACGACAATATGTAAACCGTAATTCTCTGGGTTTAAGGTTACCAATTCTTACTAAATCAGCATCAGTTAAATTATGCTGTCGATGTAAGTGAATAACACGCCATAGGGAACGATCCATTGAAAGTCGGAATAAATGACGACATGTTTGAGCTACACGAACACGATCTACTGGAGTTCCATACCGGAGTACTTCAAGCCATAATTCATCTGGTAAGAGTAACCAATTAGGTGATACGACGTTATTTTCATTTTCTATTTTATCTATTGGATCATTATCAGTGCGAAGGATACTTGCAATTACCTATATTTTAAAAACAAAAAATTTGAAAAATAATGTTGTCTTACAGAATATGCATACATTGAAATTAAAAATAGCCACTTTTAAATGTGATTAGAAAACTGAATTGAGGCCAAAATATCAGGTCTATGTGTTAACTTGTCAGCTTCCAGTAGAGACACTTTGACAATGTCTGAAGATTAGCATGAAGTAATTTGGTCGACCGTGGACTAGCAGTGGAATCTAAGATGAGCGCTTCGTCCTATTTGGGACTCGTCAGTCAGTTGGAGGATGTACTTGCAGTCCCGAATGAGTGACGGCGTTCCCTCCGAGACTCAAACTAAGTACCCTTTCTTCACAAGTAGATTTGCCTCTTATACTACAGACACCAGTCATTATTTCTTCCACGTCAACTTTGATTTCCTCGTTAATTTCCTGGACTGAAATATCCAGCCGAACAAAAGGTGGCTTTCGTAGCCTAAGGTAGACACACTACTGGATAATGCTTTGCAGTTTGCAAGGAAAGGTGCTGGGTTGGAGTTTCAGTGGGGATTTCAGGTAGATCGAACTGACTGATGAGTCCCAAGTGGAACGAAATGCATCTTTTGGATTCCGCTGCTAGTCACCACCCCACCCAACTATTAGAAAACACCTGTTGAACAAGACTGCAGATGCCAACAAAGTGGTATTTGAAGCTAGACACATCTACCTCTAGACGACACGCTTCTTCATACCTGTGACAGTTGTATGGTATTGCCAGAGATTAATGGAACCACTATAGGTGAGGGCAATGTATAAAGGCCAAAGTATGATGGGTAAGTTCTCATACCCTCATACCTAAAAACTCGTAACTTTAACACCAAAAAGTAAAAGATAATGAAGAGTAATCAAACCACTTGATTGTTTATCTGAGTCATGTAGGTTTTCGCTTAGTGAAAAGTAACTTAGTACACACTATCAATTTCATGAGGAAAACCAACACTGAAGTGACTGAGTACACTCAACAAGTGTTTCTGAAAAAAAGTCATGTATTTTAGTCGCACAATTTAATGACTGATTTTCAAAACAGGACTCTGAACAGACGTGAAACATTTCAAGTTGATACACTCCATATAGCACACAAAGATGGACAAAAAAAGAGAGTAAAAGGAAGATTAAAAGTGATATAATGAGCAGAAATGCACGAGAGAAAGAATGGTAACACGGGAAAACATGAGGACTCAATGGATCCCGGCAAGCACAAAGAATGAATGCATCTGCGACACACTGAGAATGATTTTCAGCGATATTATCAACAGTCTTCGGCAGTTAGTTCTGTCTGTATCTTGGGGACTTCAACCGGACAGTATACAGTTCCCTACACGGTTCCAACCAACGGTTGAAGACTTCATGGATTTATGCCATACTTCCATTCGTGACTAGTCCTAACTCTTTTTCAACTTAATCCTTGGTAAAAAGACATTGACTGATTAAAAATGCCCATTAAAATTTTTCAAAAGAATAAATACTGAACAAAGAGTACTCTTTTCGATAACTTCATCGTGAGGCTCTACAGTTACATATACATTATAGTGAATGAATGAATTAGTGTTACTAACAGTATGAATGTTGTTTAATTAACATCGAATCAATAATATCAATAGATTACAGTTCAATAGCATCAACATAAAATAAACTGAATGTTAGAAAAATTAGGAAAGATAATATTACAAATTCATGAGTTTATAGTTTCTACTGAAGGCCGGCCAGGGCAGTAGTAGGGGATGGTTGTATTTGCTTCTTTTGAACACTGAGCACTGGTTGTTTGAGGCAAATTGCAATAGCCTCTGCTGTTTGGAGCATGCGGTGCTTCGATAATTTTGGCAATTTATTAGGCACCCGATAGATGATAGAGAAGGATTCGTCAATGCTGGCTTTGTGGCCGGTGGCTTTGAACCAGATGGTCTAATATCGAACTGTTAATGGCTTTAACTACATCTTTACTTAGCCATAGTGGGATATGTTCTCGAGCACGAAAAATCAAGTTCCTAGAGCAACGGTCAATATAACTCGCTCCACCAGCAGCGCAGTTGAATTGGTAGATACAATGTGAAGTGGCTAGCTAGTCTAGGTACTTCATCTTTCAGTCGAGGTAGCACCATCGGTCGTGTAGAGAATAATAATACGTGTATTTTGCAAGCATTAAAAGTTCTTTGAACTGATTTTCTTAATTTTTACTCAGGATGCACATAGAAACAAAGTAGATAATGCGAAACTATGTAAGAGATCTAAGTGGATACAAGAATTATAATTGCTTAAGGTTATTTTAACTAAACAGGTAAAGGTTGGTAATATAAGTCAAGACCATTAAGTGCTAGGGTAGTAACAAAGGTGATGAGTTGTCACAAACAGTTGTTAAAAGAAGTTATGCAATAATAATATGAATAGTTTGATGAGTGAGTTTTACTCAGGATGCACATAGAAACAAAGTAGATAATACGAAACTATGTAAGAGATTTAAGTGAATACAAGAATTATAAGCAATTAAGGAACAGGCGAAGAAACAAAATTAAGTCATCAAAATAAAAATAAAAGCTCAAAACAAATCAAAACATTGTTACCATGAGAGTAGAAGTGGTTGAGTAATCTTCTTTTGTATGCACAGCTCCGGTTTTTCCATGTGAATGGCCAGAGCTTCAGCGATGCAAAGGAGACGAAACCGTATTGCCTTTGATATGTTATTCTTGACTCTGTAGATTACTTTGAAGGAGGCGTTCGTTGAAATGCAATGATCAGTGTTGACCAGGTGTTCTATTATCGCACTCCTTATTGTACCAGTATTGCCTTTTCGCAACCATGCTGGATAATGTTCTTGAATTCTCTTGGACAGGATGCGCGTCGAACGACCGATGTACCTGGCTCCACAGCAGCAGGTGAACTGGTATATGCACATAGAAGTGGCCAGATGCGGGATCTTGTCCTTGAGGCTTCTGCAGATCAGTGGGCGACTGGAGAACACTATTCGTAGCGTTGCTGCAAAGAACGTTCTTCTCAGAGATGATGTGATCCTTCTCTTGAGAATATCGCTTGCTAAATCTCCCTTGAAATCCAAATTCATGTAGATTTTCTTTTTAGGCACAGTTAAAGTTTCGTTTTTCCGAATTATTGGTTTCATATTTTTATCGATAAATCTTATTGGGTATCCATTTTGGATTTTCTCGTAATTATCTCACTTGGTATATCGCCCTTGAATTGTAGTTGTATATAAAGTGGCTTCTTGTTTACAGATAGTGAGTAGTCCTTTTCTGCTTTCTTTGTCATGTGTTTCGATCAAAGTATCATATACAATGCTTAGTTCATCTTCAATTACTCCTTCTGAGCATATAGCACAGAAGATATATAGCATAAAGATATTGCTCGACGAGGAAGGACATAGCTTGATATTCACAGTAACACGTGTCTTAACCATCTCAACTCAACTGACGCACAGCTTCACAGCCCCATCAACTGACTTTCTCTACTTATCTAGCCTTATTTCTACTATTGCCTATCGTGTCGATCTAAACAACATGACATCTACGGTTAAGAAAAAAAAGAACCATGAGTATTTTCATAGATTTCTTAATTCCGACAACTTATAAAACGAGTATTAATTGCTACAGTGTCAGTCTGGCACTTAACAAACCAGCCTCGTGAAGTTAAATATTTTATTTATTTATTTATTTAAACGCAGAAAAAACTTGGTACAATATGGCACCAAGAAAGATGCACCACACAATAATAATAAAACAACATAGATCAAAAATATATACGTAGAGTACGGATAAAGAACTTCATCTGGAAGGAAAACAGTCATGCTTAACAAGTTCAAACAGTATTCGTTAACTATCATCGAGAAGGGAGGAAAGAGGGAAATTGCAACACGTTCGCCATTGATTACGATTCTTGCCCATATCCGATGACGTTTCGAGCTATCTCGCGGACCCCAACCAGGGAGTCGTGACGCACCAACCGATGCTAATCTAGCACAAACATCCTTCATCCCACGACGCCACGTCATGGACTGACCACCTCTCCGCCTTTTCCATCCCGTCCTAGCGCTGGCTAGCGAACAGAGACCTGTACGGAAGCCTCTGGGATGACATTCGCAGCACATGTCCAAGCCACCGGAGCCGATGTTTTCAGATGACGATACTCAATGAATGGTGATCTCCACTGTGTTCAAACACACGCCGCTGAACCTCAGAATTACTCACGCGATGATGCCATCGAACGCAAGCAGTCCTGCGGAGACAGCGATGATCGAACACGCAGAGTCGCCGCACATCCTCAGCTCGGAGAGGCCAAGTTTCAAAGGCGTAGAGAGAGACAGCCCGCACCGAAGCATTGTATACCCGACCTTTGACAGCCAGGCTAAAATCGCGACGGCGCCAGAGGTGGCTGAAGTTAATGCATGCCACCCCAGCCTTCATTATACGGTTGGAAATCTCATCCGTCACCCCTCCGCCAGCACTCACACAACTACCCAGATACACAAACTTATTAACAACTTCAAGCGGTTCACTCGCAAGAGTTGGTGCAAGTACAGGCTCTGTCCAACAGCTTATAAGTGTCAGTTTAGAACTTAACAAGCCAGTTTCGTGAAAGAAGACAGGCTGATTCAATATGCACCGAAAATCTTTTGTAGAAGGAACCCTAACACAACAAACGATCAAATATGCTGTAAACACAAATAGGAAAAGGTACTTTGGAGATTAAATACCTCTTTTGGTAAATTAGCAATGGAATGATTTGTTGTCGTCGTTGTTGCTGCTCCTGCTGATGAACTATCTGTACTGATACTTAAACTCTTTGATATATAACCACGATTACGTCTTACAGGATGGGAACGATTTGACTTGGAGTACTTGTCACTGCCTTCTGGACGACCGTGTAAAGATGATCTCAGGGCATTGTTCAACTCTCCTCTTCTTTGATTAAATGGATTAGTATTTGTACATGAATTAGGCTGGCATTGTGATTTTTCTGATTGAATGTTTGAATTGTTTTGTTTTCTATCAAAATAAAACCCACAAGGGAAAAAAGATGAATGTTAAGGTATTTTCAAAACAACAGATACAAATCACAATTTTATGTGAACATGCAAGACAATGAGTGATACAATTGCTTTTTCTAACAAATATAGAGCGAATTTCCATCAGGCATTGGTTTTGTAGGGATTTTGTTTGATTGGTTGGAGGGTTTCATCAGGAGCTGATATCGGTTAGAGGACCACTGGTAAACCTGGGAGTAGTGGACAGCCGTTTTCACCTAGTTTGGGACTCTCCATCTGTACGCACCCACCGGGGTTCGAACACAGAACCTTCTGGCTACAAAGTGAACTCGTATACCATTGAGACACTGGGACCTGATCTAATGGCCCATGAATTCTAACTTCTGCTAATTCACAACAAATTTCTACCAAACAACACAGGAACTCCTGAAATCACGAAGTGATCTGACCAAATACTCACACATCACCTCATTCCAGATGAGAAAATGAAATGATACACAACAAACACTTGCACAATTCTCTGCATTTGGCAGTGAACGACACCTATTGCCTAGTAGTTCAAAACTCGAATCAGTGACCCACTTGGTTGGCAGCCGAGCAACTACACCAATGAATGAGCCAAAGCTCCACGTACTCGGCTTCATTCCACATTTATTTCATTGGTTACGGACTATATTTAAAAATTGAGGCGTATTATACAACAATATTAGTAAAGCCGTAAATAAACAAGATGACTATAAATCAACCGTTAATTTTATGTGTTCATTTCAGTCCTATAAATTTAGACTGAAAAGTACAATATTATGTATACACCACTGATCCTTATATATTAATTGCACTGTACAGTCTAACATGGAAATGACTTGTGTGCCTGTAAAAGCGTGTGGGCGGTTATTACTTCCCGGTTGCCTACACCGTAGAAGTCAATTTATTCTTGAGATGCCAGAAGCAACCTCTCCCTCCCTTCCCAAGGCGCAAAGGCAGCATAGCTGGCCATCTGATGGGAACACCTTAATGCTGCTAAATCCCTAAAAATTTGCTCACAGATCCCGCACCCAACATAGTGTACACAACTTATACTATGATAGTGAATCCTTTAGGTTTAATCGTTATCCGAAAGACTTTCAGGCATGGTAGGGCCTGCAAGAACATTAGTCCCAGCCAGTCGAATTCGTTGGGACATGATGCGCGAGCCTGATCACCACCACGTCAAGGTAGCAGCTGTCGGTTGGGAAACTAATTAAAACGATTAGGGGTTAAAGTGTTCATGAATTAGACAGAAACTATACCAAAACCTTATGGTTATGTAATTGGTGTTTGCTCGCCAAAAAGAAATACCCAAATATCCTCCATATCACCCTCATACTCATGACCATCTTGTCGCTCGCTTCTCATTTAGGTTCCACCATTTACTGGACTTTGTGCCTAGTACTATCGGCATTTTACATCACACTTTTTGCAGTGCAAACCGATGAAAGTAATAAAAAAGACTACTTAGCAAACAGAAAGATGAAAGTGTTGCTAACTTAAAGATAGAATTGGGTCCCTCTACTATTTTAATTCGATTCTTAACTGTAGGGAATCTCGTTTCAAAAGCCAGACTAGACTTTGCCCGAATGCATTTACTGATTTCTTTTGTGTTAGGTCATTTTATTGGCTTATAACTGTTAAGTATTCTTACTACAGACAAGAAAATACAGATAACAGTTGGTCTCAGTCTCTATTCAACAACTTCTTGCGTTTACATGGAGTTGACAATGAGCCGCACTCATGGTGCGCGGGCTACTGTAACCAGTTGGCTGCCAAAACCTCGGTACGGTAATTGGAGTGGATTTTAGAAACCCATGACCTGAAGGGCCGGAAGTCGAGCACCAAAACTGATAAGTTACAGTCCCATACAGATTGTGGTACATTAGCCGCATTTGCATTGAAGTCTGTTTTTAGCTGTCTAGAAAAATACAATAGAAGCATTCTTAAATGAACTGGTACGGCCAAAGATGGGTAGACTACAGTTTATCTCTCGAAATACTCTCATGTAGTTACGCGTTGAAAGCCTCTGGCAGGTAAGTTCTATTCATCATTGCCTTCACATGGCAGTGATGAACAGTTTCGCTCATAAAAGTGAATGGGTGAACGCGAAGGTCTGGTGCTTACAAACCGACTAGTGAAAACTCTAGCCTACCTATGGGATTTGGAAAGCCTTAGTTACATTACAGGTTCTAGAATACGAAAGGACAGAATAGCGTATCAACCTGCTTTGGTCACTGTAAACCGCCGGAATTTAGCTCCACTACATGATGGAGCATATTTCGAGACAAAGGCTATGGAGGTGACGCATCTCTTGGTGCGCCAAGTTTGTTTTAATCATATAATAAGAAGAATAGAATCATTTAGGATTAATTACACCAAGAAATAGTGACAAGAGACTGTGGGGTTAGTCAAGGATTCAAAGCTTTAGAGAACTATATAAGTGAAATAATTCAGAATAGTTCATCTATGAACCTATTTGCACACTTGCAGTTATGATTCACGCTAAATAATGGATGCGCAGTGAACCACAAATAGCATTTCATACAAAAGTTTATAACATGAGATATACGATCAGAGACTCACATAACAGTATTGGGTTCAAGTTGATCAGATGCAACATTTCCTTGACTATATGATGCAAGTAAATATGCAGCAGGTCTGAAGTATGAGAAAAAGACGATCTATTAAAACATTGAAACAAAATCCATATTTCATTTAGAATGGAGTATTCTACTTAAATATCATAGAAAGTTGCTACAAGGGATTAAATTTACTCAAAATCTGTATTAATAGATTGTGGGAGAGTTAGATCATTTAAGGTGAATTCTAGTAGTGATCTCCGATAAATAAACAATATAAATAAACTTTAATAAATTAGATTACAAACATGTGAACCGTCAATCATACAAAATTGGAACTTCTCTTTTACCTAAATAGTAGTTTGCACTGCATGTGTAACTAGAAGTTTAGTCAGCTGAAATCAACTTTAATGTTTTACAGTGTTGATTACCTACCTAATTTTTCCTTGAACAATAGGTTAATGGTGAAAAGTAAAAACACAGGTTTCAAAAATAACTATCCTTTGAAAGGTGTTTGATTTTCCACATATTTCCTGGTCATCAACATGTCAGATTGATGACATGTTGGTGTCAGGTTGCAGACCTTTATCAACAACTGTCTTCGCTGGATCTATACTGAAGATCAGATGGCTGGGCCGGAAAGAATCACCAACAAGAAACTATGGGAACAAACAAAACAAGCACCAACCAATCGCCAACCAACAAATATGCAGGAGAAAGTGGAGATGGATTGGACACTCACTCGCTGAGGAGGCCGCTGGTTGACATCGCGCGCGCGCGTCAGGCCATTGCTCGAGTGGAACCAGGCCGAAAGGAAGGCGGTGAGTGGGACGTCAGCGCAAGGGCAACATAGAGGAGATCGTGTGAAGGGGAGTTGAAAGAGTATGGACTAACATGGATGGATGCAGGTGAAAAGTATAGCAGAAGACAGAAGCAAGTAAAGACGTGCAGTTGAAGCCCTATGTTCCACTAGGAACCCAATGGAACAATAATAATAAATAACATGTTTGGGTGACTGACTGAGTTTCAACTTTGCAACAATTCAAGTCCCAACATTCCATTTAGCACAAAAACACAAAAGGCAGAACAAACAGACTCTTTTTAAAACTATAATAAACAGGAATGTAGGGGAGAAAGAATAGTAAAATGGGGAACCATAAGGGATTAATGGATATAGGAAATCATAGAGAGCGCCGTTGAGAACAATTTTGAGCCATATCACCAATAGTCTCAAGCAGTCATTGGTACTTAGCATCCCAGGGGCCCCAATCAAATAGTCTACACTTCTCTACGTAGTTCAAACTAACCGTCAAAGACATCATGAAGTGATTCCAAGTTCTAGCTCTTTTCCAACCTATTCCTAACATTGCCTATCAAGAATATTATGACTCAGCATATGTAACATCTGTCCTAGTCATCTCAGTAGATGTAGCTTCACAATCTAACCGACTGATTTCCCTTTTTACCTAACACTAAGCCCAACTTTAATAGTGTTTACCACAGTGTATCATTTAACAAGGGAGATTGAATCTAAACATAAAGTCAAAGATAGACAGACTTTTCATAACTTCCACTTTCAATGGTGAAGTCTCATAGTCAAAGCACGACAGAGGAAACTGCTGTGCAGTACACACTTCCCCTGATCAATAGCCTGAAATCATGTCCACGTCGGGGATGGCGCAAATTAGCAACTGCCACACGAATCTTCTTTATCCACACTGAGGATTTCGTCAGCAATCAGTCCATTAGTGCTGATGCAACGTCTCAAAGCAAAGTAGTGGACATGCTCAACCACTTCGCTCCCTGTTTCTAAGCTAAAAGCCGGTGCAGTCCTGCAACAGCATCACCTTAGAACACATGTTAAACATTCGAAGATTTCTCCTCAAGGTGTTCACATGATTGGATTTTGTCAGACTCTTCATCTAGGAGGACATTTTCTGCACACTATAGCCCAACAAGACTGTCCCTTGGTAACAAGTCAATTCCTAAGTCGCTAAAGTCAGTCGGGGTCAATCCGTTAGTACATCAGTGATGAAATAGGGACAGTTGACATGCTCGACGGACACTGCTAGTCGTCATCACTTTAGACGACAACTCTCAATAGGCTGCGTGAGTGCAACATGTCGCGTGACCTCTTCCATTCCATATTTATCCATTACACGAAGTGAGTTGGCCGTTGGCATCATTGATAACTCCAATTATCATAAAGAGAAAAGACGCCTGTGACCTAACCTCGATTACGTTACACCAGTATGCAAACATGGAAACAAGTACTGACTTTCATGGTAGAATATTAGACCACTTCAATAAGCTAATCCTAGTTATGTAAAAATAGAAACTGTCTAAATTCATCAGACCCCGGTATGATCAGTTAATTTCTGGGAAATCATCTTAAAAATTAATACAAAACATACTTCGAGTTACACATGACATTAACAGAAATTATTACTAGTATATAGCTCACTTCTTTTTTAACATAGCAGGATCTTGAGCAGACCAAGCCCCTCTAGAAGACTGCCAATGTGTTCGAGGTTGAAGTTTAGCCAAATTCACATCAGTATAGTTAGAATTTTCGAAATCTGAACTGAAGCTTCGAGCACGGTACATGCCTGGATTTTGTACAGTTGTTGAATTTTCCGTTATGGAGCATTCAGATGGATGCTTGCGACGACAGAATCCACCTCGCTTCTGAACACTGCTGTGTGACTTTGGAGGACTTTGACTAATAGGTCCCATTTCTTGAAATGGCCATAAATGATATGCTGATGGCTTAGAAGGAATACTATTATTAGCTGAAAGCGAAATTTGTGTCTCACGTAAAAGGTTAGCTACAACTTCAGATGCTGAAGCATCAGACCACGGGGTTTGTGAAAATGTGCAACTGTTATGAGAAGCATTATTTGACATTCTCACAGGTGAAGCATGACTAGTCAAACCGTAACTGGATGGCACACTGTCAACATGACACATATTTTGAGTATTAGTTGTATTCATTGGATTGATAGGACCCGAAGTGCGACGTTGACGATATTCCAGAATGTTATCAAATTGACAAAACTGATTATATTCAGTGTTATCACCATTATTTGCCGAATTCAATACTGAGAACTGCAACGAACCATTCTCTCTTGAACACGCATCTGTATTGATGTTGCAATCACTAACACAATTTACATACTCCGCATTTCTTTGGAATTGATATCGTAGCTGATCTGTAGACACATTCGGAAACACACTAAAAACGTCACATTTCGTGTGAGAATACTCGAAAGGAACATGATGAGGAGTGTTTGTTTCGCTAATATGATACTTCCCACTCGTATGTGTTGATGGAGAAGAGTTATTCCATCTCAAATGTTTTTTGTTCGAATTCTCTGACGAAAGTGATGGCGATTCTGTATAAGATGAAACATCGAAATGAGTTTCTGGTGTAGTAGATAGTAATGAGTGACATGCATAACCAATTGCGTTAGGAAATTGCATATCATTTTCGTATGATATAGGAAAACTAGAAGACACACAAGAAGATACATTCGACGAAAGATCATTTGTATTCAGTGCATTATCTTGTTGTACCACGCTGCTTAAAGTTATTTTATTCTGTTCACAATTTCCGTCATTTAGTCGACATTCTGCTGTTCCAATTAGCAGCTCCCCACAGCCAGAACACCAATTCATATCTTTAAGACATTGACTATGGCATTTAGGACATATTAAATTGTTTTTATCAAACGCCTGCTGTTTATGATAATGCATACTTGCTTTCCCATTTCGGAAATCATTACGACAAGGATATGAAATTGAGTCCTGGACAGCACGATGCTCTACATGGTTCACAGCTGTAGGATAAAACGGCAGGATACCATAGTTTGAATAAAGAATTGGTATATTGGTATCCATTATCACGAAATGAGTAGTTACGCCTCGTATCAAGCACCATTCAGCGAAAAACGGTAAAAATTAACAAAGTTGTCTGAAAGATAAGTGAAATAACAAACTGAACTGTAAAGATATGATTAATTTATAGATTTACGTTGATCTCAATTTACCAACTACCAATAAACCAACATACAAAAACTTGACTAATCTCAGGAATAAGAACGATATTGTAACAATCTGTACATAACATAATTCCTGATGATTGAACCTATAATTAGGCTGTTGCCAATCGGTTTAAGCACCTCCATTCTGGTTAGTAGGGTGAATTTGAACTTTTTTCCATTTGATGAATATTAAACAGACAACTGGTATCATAGACTGAGACAAAGAATGTACTTTGTTGGAATAATGAACAAAATATCACTTAATCCTTAGGATATTACCACAGCTAAATTAACACAAAAGTACCTATATATTTTAATGAAAACAAAAGAATCCAGTACCATATGAAGTAGTGTCAGAGATGATGTGAAAATTCAATTGTTTCTTCGGCTGTGCACTTTATTCAATCCGTTAGTGATAACTCATCAGATTTTTTTTCTTCTTGTCTAGGCATTATAGTGAAGACATTACACGGATAGTTATTTCAGGTAACAGGTGGGGATAATTTTGGTGGAATTACCTTAGTTACTACCACCAACATAACTTCTATAAAAATGCATGATAAATGCTCTATACATTTCCAAAGAAATCTCACAAGCAAACCAGTTTCGGAAACCTTTTGTGTTAAAACTAACACTTTCGTTTAATTTTGTGACGATTTATTTCTTTTGAGATACAGTCACACTATTGTGTTGGAAACTAGAGTGGTTACATTGATACATAGCTGTGTGAAAATAAACTGCCTTTGACGGTAAAAAATGAACACTGCAAATAGAAACTTGTCTTTACCAGACAATTTCCTTTAAGAACAGCCTACTTAATACTTCGTTAACAGTCAGTGTGTAAAACTTTAGTCATCTTGCAACTCAATTATGAGGGGGATTTTTTGCTTACAAGCTGGGACACTACTGCATCTACTGAGATTTCAGATGTCAACTGATTCGTCAACCCAAACAATACGTGGTGTATTGTCTACTGCATTTAACATTTATGTCTGTCTGTCTGTTTTCGACATAGAACTTTGCACAAATGTGCGGAAGTTCAAGTCGCCACATTCCGTGTAGCACGCGAAGCAAGAGAAGAAAGTACAAGAAAAGCATAATAGAAACAGTGAGCAGAGGTGTGAGACAAAGGAGTAATAAAGAAATACAAAACAGTTTCATTGAAGATCATAAGTCACAGGGAGTGGATGCATATGCGCCATCACTGAGAACGATTTTGAGCCATGTCACCAATTGTTTCCAACCATAGATTTTTACCGTCCCGAGGACCCCAACCAGTCAGGAAGTCTACACCTTCCTACGTGGCTTAGACCAAATGTTGTGGATTTCATTGACTGATGCCAAGTTTTTGTTTGACCGCCGCTAGCTTTTTCCCAGCCTGACCCTATATCCGCTAACATTGCTCGTCGAGGGAGGCGATGGCTTGGCATACGTAACACATGTCCCAACCATCTCAGTCGATGTAGCTTCACGACTTCGTCGATTGATTTCCCCTGTTTACCTAGAACTCTACGCCTAACCTCCATGTTGCTCACCTTATTATGCCACTTTACACGGGAAATAGAACGCAGGCACCTATGATCAAAGACAGCCACTCAGGCTGTTCATGTCTTCCACTCTCAGTGACCAGGTCTCACAACCATAAAGGAGGACGGAGCGGACTGATGAGCAGTACACCCGCCCTTTGGTCGATAGTCGAACATCTCGTCTACGCCAGAGTCGGCGTAAACTAACAAATGCGAAACGAGCCCCTGTATTCGTGCTGAGATTTCGTCAGAGATCAGCCCGTTGGGGCTGATGGTACTTCCCAAATAAGTGAAGCGGTCAACGTGCTCTACCACTTCACTTCCTATTTTTAAACTAGGCGTCGATGTAGTCCAGTCCTGTAACATCATCTTGCATTTGGCGGGAGCGAATCGCATGCCAAACATTCGTAGATTGCGGCTCAAGGTGTTTAGAAGACTCTGCATTTCGTCAGCGTCTTCGCCCAGAAGGACTATATCGTCTGCATATTCCAAGTCAACGAGATTATTCCCAGGTAGCAAGTCAATCCAACATTTATGCAGGTGTCAAGAGACAGAATACATCTTGTAATTATTTAAATCATGGAAAATTCCCATTGTAACATTTAGAAAATCAAAACAAGTGATTCAGCGAAGAGACTCTTTTCAACGAATTTATCATCAAGCTGTACAGTCGTATATATATGGTTTATCAAAAGTTATATCCGGTGAGGGAATTGAATCTTAGGTGTGAATGCACAAAATAATAATAATAATAATCATATGAAGTTCAATTAAAACTAAAATGTTTGTGATTATAATCGTAGTTAAATGTCAAGTGGCAAAGCAGATTAATGTCATATATAGAATAATTCATAGGAGGGGTAGAACTTGAAAAAGGATGTGCAATTATAGGATTAGTAGGCAAATCGAATAAAACAAAAACGTTACGTAATATTGTGTGAAATTTAATAGCATAGAATTTATCGTTGTAAAAAAGAATTGATTTAAAATGACAAGTGGAACAAGTGAAATAATACCGGGGACAGTTCAAAGTGAGAATAGTAATAATAACAATTGACTTAATAAGGAAGAGTATACAAATTGAATAGACAAAATGAAAAAATGAAAAATTGGTAGAGCTAAAATATGATTGGGGATTATCATATTTTAGCATAGAGGGATTAAGACCATGAAAGTTGGACTTTTCTGAAAAAATGTTTGTGGGTCTATATATATTCGAAGGTCATACATGACGTTAACTCTACACTGACTGCAGAAATGAAGTCCCAGTAATAAGTTAGGAGTGTGTCATGCACTGGCTTGTATCATACATAAGAACACCATGTATATATATATATATATATATATATATATATATATATATAAGATTCAAAGACAAGGTGCTATCTGAAGATCCTAATTACATAAGAAAACGTATGAGAGAGAATACGTAATTCAATACGAACAGTTCGTTATTTCGCATATATGTCCAGTAAGAAGCCATTAAAGACTTTTTTGTACAAGAAAACATAATGCAGATAACTGACATCAGGCTTTTAGCTGTTGGATGAATATCAGTAAACACTCAAAGTGGAGTTATTCACTTCGTGAATATATGGACACAATTAGAGCTTTATGCAAAAAATAAACTACTTATCGGGAGTGACACATTAGAGGCTGAACTAATCTATAAGGAATTTTTATTGTATTTTTCCTTCACTTTTAGTCAGTTTTAAGAAATGACAATTTTATTGGTTACTTTTAACATCGGAGTCTGGTTCAAAGTTGTTCTTAAGTCGATGAACAGAAACTATAGATGAAGTAAGTAGTCACACTATTCAGGGAATTAGAGCTGGAAAAAAGGCCGAAATATCCTTCACGAATCACAGCCAATGAACCATCCGTATTACCATCCACACTGAGAGTCTGATGTAAATGCATTTTGCGTTTACTAGCCTGAGATTCCTAAACAACACTTAAATAATGCGTGGAAATGCTTCAGGTTTCCATAGTTCTTACGAGGACTGATGCGATGACGACATGTTTATTGTCTAAAAGCTGATTTAGCAAATATGATGTCGGTCCCTAAATGATGAGGACTCAACTCACCCCACTAGATATTTCTAAAAAGGGACTTTCAAAGTCATCAGGATGTAACTCAAGTTAAGAAAAACTAGGAATGGAGCATTTTCAGGTTAGAAGGCCCGTAACCTTGCTTTTAAAAGAGGCCATTTTCGTATTAACCGAAATAACTCCAATGGATAAAAGAGGATCAGTGCATGCCGTCCAGCAGATCGCAAGGTTTTCAGAAAATACTGCTCCAGTGGTGTAACTACTCAAGACAGTTTGCAGTTTCCAAGCATATCTACCCATTCACTCTCAACATTTTGAATAAGAAATAACAACCTGAAGAGAATACAGTATAAATCATTTAAATTAATCCCAACGTTTAAGAAAAATCAAAACAAGGTCTGGAATCTTAACTTGAAGAGAATGTTAGTAAGATTTGAAATGTAGGTGTAGTGTACACATTAGATGCATCAACTGGCTAGGAAAACTAGTTACAAAAGCTGACATTACACAAGTATTTGCAGGACGAAACGTACTCTGCACCACTTGTCTAAGCTTAATTAACCAAATCCGTAATTCAATTCAGCCTTTGGGCACGTATTAGTGCAAGTTATCACATAAATAAAGGTGAAATTTTCTTATAGCAAGTTAACTTGTTTATTGACTGACTAACCAGGTGGCTTTAATTTCGTAAAACCCACATTGTGATTATTTTACTCGATTGACAAACCTTATCAATTATTATAACCTTATGTTCAAATGACTAAAACCCGATGGATATTAAAAATGACCCACTCTTTCCAATAAATTTGCAAATCGCTGAATTAAGCGCCATACGTTTGACCGGACTAAACTTGACTTCCCAATTCAATATACAATATCCACACTCCAATTTCAGATTCAGATTCAAATTCTCCATTTGGGGACAGAAAACTTTAGGGATGTACTCCCCCTTTACTGATAAGTATCTTCTATTGTCTAACCCCTCCGGAACGAGTCAATTGGGGGCGTAGACACTCCTAACTCAAGGAATTGGTTCCAATAGTTTATCACTCGGTGAGAGGACTATTACTCTTCAGAGATATTCTCAGCGATTTCCCGCCATAATAACTAAAGCGCCTGTCAACCAGATGTAAATTGGCCATATAGCGCATTTGGGTTTGGAAGCGTCAACCGCTAACCCAGTGTAGCGGTAAATAATTCCCCAAAATTATTGACCACAGCAATCACTCATTGGATGCTGACCACCACTGTTTAAGTCGACTTGTTTAGCTGAAGGCTTCCGGTCAAGCATCCCCGCCATTTGGTACCCCGTCGTGTAACGTGCACGATCACTAGCTAGCTAAGCGTTCGTCTAACGGCTTGTTTTGGTTCCCAAATACATCTCTTCGTTTGGACGACCAATTATTGGCTTTTGCTTTGTCTTTGGTACGCGAGAATAAATTAATTAGAAGTTGTTGAACGAGATATCACGTCAAACCTTTAATATCTCTCAACCTTTAAACTGGTGAGCCCAACCGCGAACTTCATCCACGAAAATTCCGCAGATAACCCCGGTGAGTTCGTTCCATTTTGTATTTGTTCTTGTACCATATATTATTCGATATAATTTTCGTCATGAGTGATCTTAGTCCCAAGGTCATCCGTATCCGCTCAACTCCTAAAACCATTCAGCTCGTACCATACTGGCCAGATAATGCTGAAACGTGGTTTCTGCTAGCTGAAGCAGATTTTTGTGAGCATGGGATAACCGATCAACGTTCACAGTTACTTGCAGTTATTCACGCCCTACCGCGGGAATTCAGCAAGTACGTAACATCACAGATGTTGAGTCCCGAGGTAAGTAACTCGTACGAGTTGCTGAAAGCATCCCTCCTCAGGAGAAACGCTCTCACGGACAGACAACGTCTAGATGAATTATTTCGCAACATCGAGTTAGGAGATCAGTCAGCCGTGAGCATGCTGACAAGAATGAAACAAGTCGTCGGCCAATGTCAGTTCGACGAAGGACTGTTTAGAGAACTCTTCTTAACCAAGTTGCCACAATCTGTACAGACCGTACTTGTGACACTTGAGGGTACTGTAATAGAGAACTTAGCTATTACTGCAGATAAGATCCTAGAAATAACTAAACGGTCTGTCCCGAAATATGCTCAATGACTAAGCAGACTTCGAGTGAGGATCCTGCAATGACAGAGTTATGCAACTCCCTTCAGCAGATGTTTAGGTCAAACATGCATTCTAAATCCTCCAACCGTCGTCCTAAATCTCCTCAACGCAGGAACTCGCGTGGTCGATCTAAGTCCAAACCACGTTCACTGAAAAACCCTGACTGGTGCTGGTACCACAACACCTATGGCCAAGAAGCGAAGTGTTGCCGTAAGCCTTGTAACTTCGGAAATGTCTCAAAGTCTGCGGGAAACTATCCCGCCGGCACGCGTTAGCGGCAACCGTCGCCGGTGGCACTAGCCGCCTACTTTACATCCATGATGTGATAAGCCAGACTCGATACTTAGTCGACACAGGCGCCGAAGTCAGCGTCCTTCCTGCTACAGCAGCAGATCGACAGAAGGAACCTACCTTCAACTTACAGGCTGCAAATGGAAAACCAATCGCAACCTTTGGTAGGAAATACGTCTATCTGAACGTAGGTTTACGCAAACCTATTCGGTGGATTTTCCTTCTCGCTGACGTTACAATGCCCATCATTGGCACGGACCTACTTAATCATCATGATTTACTCGTAGACGTCCGCCGAAAACGACTGATTGACAATACTACTAGTCTGTCTATCAAAGGCATTACCTACATAGGCCCTAGCTTGTCACCCGTTAAGATAAAGGCAATTCTTGATCCAACTTTTCAACCTATCGTTGACAAGTATCCGGAACTTAACTGCCCGTCGAACGACCTACCGTGCATAACCAGCAATGTTATGCACCACATCATTACCACAGGACAACCTGTGACATCTAAAGCACGACGATTAGCTCCTGACAAACTGAGAATCGCCAGGAATGAATTTGACCATATGCTTAGCCTTGGCATCATTCGACCTTCGAATAGCCCATGGGCATCCCCACTTCATATGGTTCCGAAAAAGGATAGCAACGATTGGCGACCCACCGGTGATTACCGGCGAGTGAATGCCAAAACAACCCCTGATTGCTACCCGTTGCCTCATATACACGACTTGACGGCAACCTTATCCGGCGCGACTATATTTTCTAAAATCGACTTGGTTAAAGCGTATAACCAAATCCCGATGGCAACAGAAGATATCCCGAAAACGGCTATCATTACGCCTTTCGGACTTTTTGAATTTCTACGTATGCCATTCGGTCTTCGGAATGCAGCCCAAACATTCCAACGCTTCAATGACGAAGTATTTCGCGGTCTCGACTTTGTATACGCATACTTAGACGACTGCCTCATTGCCAGTCCAGACAAGGAAACTCACCTTAGGCACTTGGACTTGGCATTTGACAGGTTACGCCAACATGGTGTTACCATCAATATTCAAAAGTGTCAAATCGGTGTTGACTCACTCGACTTCCTGGGTCACACTATTGACTGCAAGGGCATTCGCCCACTGGCTACTAAGGTTGAGCCTCCTAAGAAAAACCGTTCTGGACGCACCGTAAGGTTCCCAGAACATTTGCACACTTATTTGACTTAACGAAGTCGTGTGATTCACGCAACTCACTCGTTTGTGGTACTAACTATTTTTTTTGACGTATAAATTTTTTTATATACAGTACCACCGAACACAAAAAATTTTTTTTCAACAGTTCATGTAACATACACAAAAAAATTAATTAGATGTATTTTTTTTCGATGTTCTGAACTTAGCATTATTTTACTGTATAGTAAATGCACATAATTTTTTTTAACCAAAAAGGTCATTTCGTACATTTTCCTCGACATGGTTCTTAGCGTTCTTGTTTTCTTTTCCAGGTGCGACGGGCACTGGACGGGAAACAAACGAAGCACGGAATCCAACGAACAACACCAGGAAGCTATGTACAAACACCCCATTAGCATAGGCAGACAAACCAGTAGGCATAAGACCAAGCCGCTCGGAAGATTTTTTTCACCCGAAAGGGAACCATCGAGTTTTTTTACTTCCGGCTGGTTCTGTCTTAGGGTCCTCACGACCCCACTAGGGGGGAGTGAGCTGTAGCGGTAAATAATTCCCCAAAATTATTGACCACAGCAATCACTCATTGGATGCTGACCACCACTGTTTAAGTCGACTTGTTTAGCTGAAGGCTTCCGGTCAAGCATCCCCGCCATTTGGTACCCCGTCGTGTAACGTGCACGATCACTAGCTAGCTAAGCGTTCGTCTAACGGCTTGTTTTGGTTCCTAAATACATCTCTTCGTTTGGACGACCAATTATTGGCTTTTGCTTTGTCTTTGGTACGCGAGAATAAATTAATTAGAAGTTGTTGAACGAGATATCACGTCAAACCTTTAATATCCGCCCAACCTTTAAACCAGTTAGATTCAGATCAGGGAACAGAGTAAGCCTATACCATACGAGTTATAAATAAGAAGCGTTACATTGTGGTGCGCTTTTACGCTACCAAGGAATGACTCGGGCTCAAACAAACCAATAAAATCGAATTAGTTGTGTAGTAATTAAACAAACTTCTGGCTTACCTTTAGATGGCCAAACCACTTCAGGATTTGTTTCCGAAATAGTTCACTCTACCTGCCTCTGATATCACATTAGTCAGATAAGGTGAGATGAGACGAAGGTGTTTGTCCGAAATATCGCCTCAGCTTATATTCCATTTAAAAATAATGCTACTAGGAGTGGTTACCCAAATAATTAAATCTGTAGTGGTAAATAATCCCTCAAAATTATTAGCCCACAGCATTCTCCACTCTACATCGGTTGATGACCTCCACCATAAAGCTGATTCATAGAGCCTAAGGTTCGTGGCCGGGCATACAAGCTAACTAGTATGCGATCATGTTACATTCGGTCATTCAAACACAATCCCTAGCTAGCTGAGTAACCATCATCGCGACACGACTCTGATCCGGAAATGTATCTCCCGTTTTGGACTATCAATTCGGTATTTTGATTCTCTCGTTTAAAAAGGGCGACTTCTATGGGAGCTAGAGAAGTAGAGCTTGCGTTCATATGCAGCGTACTTTGCGCGAAAGTCTACATTTATCCTCCTCTTACACTGGTGAGCTCATAGACGAAACTCATTTAAACTAGTAGGCACACAAGCACCTCACTCTATTTCTATGAGTTCGTCCCATTTTATACCAGTGCTTTAGTTACCTTTTACGCATTTTGATAAATCCTTCTTACCATGTGTGGCCAAAATGTTATGCTCATACGTATTCGATTGACCAACATTCCTCTTCATCTCGTGTCATTCGGATGAACAATGCAGAAATATGGTTTCTTTACACTTCCATGAAAACGGCGTAACTGGTCCACACTTACAACTCCTGGATGTCATACTCGCTCTGCCGAAGAAGTCGAGAAAGTGCACCCCTGAGATAGGTAATCCTATGAGAGAATAAAATCAGCCATCTCTTGAATCGGCAAAGTCCTGACGAACTCGTCTGCTGTATCGAGTTAAGGGACAGTTCGGCTGTACGGATGCCTTCCTAAAGGCAATGATGGTCTGTAAAGATGCCAGCTCCAAAGACTGCTGATCCACAGATCAAGAAGCTGGCGCTGCTGGCAGGAGACCAATCGCTGCAATAACCGACTAGAGAATGTTAGAAGGCAGATGGGAAACTTCGTCCACTCAATCAACGAGAAAGTTCAAATTCAACTAAACAGAAATTGCTTATTTCTCCACTGTCAATAAACTGTG